GTTGGGCATCTTTCTTTGCCTTTAGACAATAATTCTGATGGCAAAAGAACCAAACCGGAGAGGCGGGGGAAAAAAGAGAGCAAGATTTTATTGTCAAGTAGTGAAACTGCAGCAGTTAACCTGTTCGATAAAGTTTTCCTGGAAACTCAAATCTTGGCTGGTTTAATAAGGAAAGAGAGCTCATTACAGACAGACGAAGGAAAGTTCAGTTTCTTCTTTTCCAAACCAAAATAATACATCAGTCTGAAAATTGTTGTTTACATGTGCAAAGGAATAAGCTAAATGGAGATGCCAACCTATGTTAAACCAAATCTGATCAGGTTTAAATATTACAACTTTTGAATTCACAGTAAACAGAATTGAATTGATTTCAAATGTTCTCATATTATGAGATGCTTTGTCTTTCTGTAACATGGTGTGGCATTTTATATATTTTTGGTATTTCTTAAGGAACATTTTCTTTCTGATTTAATAGATATTAATAGAAAATAGAAAAACTAATAGAAAAACAGCAAATTCAAGCAAAAAATTAGACCAGTTTTTCCCATCTCTAAAGAACACCACTCATTCCTGTTAATACAGTTATATTTGCTTTAATGTGAAGGACTGAAATACATGTTTCTCCTTTTATCTCACAACATCTGCTTTTGCTCAACAATCCAGGTGTTGAGGATCGTGACATCTGCTGGTGGTGGCTGAAAAATGATCCTTCTGCATGCCGCAGGCATTCACTTTAACCTCCTAGAACCTGGCGTCCACATATGTGGACATCACATTTTGGGTTATTTAGACCAAAATACTCAATTTTGCTCTACAAGCGCCTGATATCCACTTACGAGGACATTATACTGCTACTGTTCTATCGAAATTTTAAACGAATATCCTCATATGTGGCTCTCATTTTTCTTAGAAACAAAAATGAGGTAAAAACAAAATCTGGTAATTCTTTGTTTTTACATTCATCGGGTCCCAATATGCCCAAATATCAAAGAGAAATTAAAAATGCATGCGATGGAAGAGTTCGGGTCTTAGGAGAAGCCCTGCTTAAGCCCTCGCTCACTGGCGACTGACAGCACACAGCATATGAGATAAAGGAGGGGTGGTGAATCCCACAGCTAGTGTGAGATCCAGTTCATCCTCTGTAATTCCAGGTGGAGGAGTGAAGCAAAAGCGCTGAACGAGGGAGGTGAAGAAGAGGAAGAGCTCCATCTTAGCCAGACCTTCTCCGAGACACATCCTGCGACCTGCAAATGCAAAGAGTTTACGCTTATTTAAACGAGTCATGTCTGTGCAAGTGCAAATTTTCTTGACAAAAGCCTGATAAAGTTGTCATACCTGCAGAAAAGGGCATGAAGGCATCTCTCCTGACAAATTTACCTTCCTTATCCAGGAAATGAGAGGGGTTAAAAGTGTGTGGGCTCTCCCATTCACTCTCATCGTACAGGACGGAAGTAAGAAGGGGAAATACAATAGTTCCCTGTAAGCAAAAGAGCACATTTAACATAGATGCGCGATTCAAGTTATCAGAGGTGAATCAAAATATCTATTAAAGGGTATTTTTTGTGGATGAGCAGTTGACCTTTTTGATAAAGTATCCCTGGAAGGTGACATCTCGGCTAGTTTGGTGAGGAAGACATACAGGTAGAATATTAGCCAGTCTCTGGATCTCGTGAATGACTGCATCAGTGTACGACAGGTTTTTCCTATCATCAACGCTGACTTTTCGGCTTCCTACTACATGTCTCAGCTCCTCATGGACCTGCTCTGTAGACACAAAATAAATAGATAGGTTTTGTCTGCATTCATTTTACCACATATTACCAATGATCACTTTATATTATAACACAAAACCCTTACAATATTACAGAGCAAAACCCAAAGATCACACCATCCACTATGAACAAGTTATTGGTGGCAGTGGGGAGAAAGAACTCCCTTTTAACAGGAAGAGGTCTCTAGGAGACACAAGCTCAGAGTGGGACAGTCAAACTCTCCATCATGAGTACAAACAGAGTTCAGGAGCAGACTGCCGTATTACAGTGGCTTGCAAAAGTATTCGGCCCCCTTGAACTTTTCCACATTTTGCCACATTACAGCCACAAACATGAATCGATTTTATTGGAATTTCACATGAAAGACAATACAAAGTGGTGTACACGTGAGAAGTGGAACGAAAATCATACATGATTCCAAACATTTTTTACAAATAAATAGTGGGGTGTGTACAAAGATTTCTAACTCATATTTCCTGTGGAAACCCTTCAGCTCTGGAAGTTTGGAATCACCTCCCTTGTTGGACTTTGTAAATAAGAGACTCTTGAATTGTGACTAGCTAAAAGACTTTGTAAATAGCACAATTCACCGTCACTGTAAATGAAATCACTTAACTTGCACAAGTTCTGCGTTTGAGTCTGGCCCAACACATTATGATAGTCCCAATATAGAAAAACCAGGTGTTTTTTTTCCCTCACTAAGAAGAATTTAAATTTAAAATCAGGATCTGTAAAGGCTGAAAAAGACTCAAGAGCTGTAGCTTTGTCAAAGCAGGCTCCAATAAACATTTACTGAAAGTTTAACAAAAGATTTCATATCAGAAATGTATTATCTTTTTACAACCTCTTAACTGAAGAGTTTATACTATAAGGTAAATGCATAGAACAAAGACTGAAGAAACTGAAATACTGCCAGAGGAACGGAAATCAGTGGATACTTACTGCTAACCCCAGCTCCTTTTTCCTCTCATTGCCAGATTGTTGACTTCTCAGTGAAGTAGTATTGCTCAGGCCACTTAGGTTTTCCAGGTAAGTAAACTAAAAGACTATCAACCCTATCCATCATCCTGCACTGGAGAGAGCAACTCCCAGTGCAAGAGCCTGCTCATTCTTAAGGACACCTGCCTGTTCCACTCTCACACTGTTGGAAGCTTAAGTTTTAGCTTTAGGAAACCCTAACCCTCCACCTACTGGAAAGGAAATGAAGTTCTAGAAAATTAACCATAGTTTTTGAGTCGTGTGTTTGGTCCTGTTGTTGAGTTCCTTGTTGTACTTACCTGAGCTGAACATTAAACTTTAACCAACACAATCCTGCCATTAAGTCTGTAGTATGGAAACCATAAGACAAAGAGCTGTGGCTAAACCAAAACTCCTGTATGCATGAAATACCTTGATGAAAGGTATTTTTTTTTGCCTTTGTCGAAATCTATCTTGAACCTATTCAGTTTTCTAATGGCTGAGGGGCTTTATGAAAACAGAAATGAAATTTCTGGAGGAGAGTTCTACCTCCTTACCCTGTATGTGTGGATATTTAGCCATTAACAGCAAACCCCATCTCAGTGTGGCTGCTGTGGTGTCAGTACCAGCAACAAACAGGTCAATCACTGTGAATATCAAGTTCTCCTCACTGTAGTGAGAATCGTCAATACCAAATTCCTAAAAAAAAAAAAATGAAAAAGAAAAGGTATAATAACAAAACTGAAACACTGTTTTGAACACTGAGCCACTTTTTAAAATGTTAGAAAAGACAAAACATGCTGTCTTACTTCCTCTTTCTGCTTCCAAATCAAAAAACAGTCCACAAACCCTTGGCACATGTCAGGGTCCAGTGTCTCTTTCAGGTACGTAATTAAATACGTTACATCTCTGATGGTCGTCTCAACATTTTTTAACACCACCTGATGGTTTTTAATCCATCTGAACAGCCGGGGAAACATGTTATAAAGCTGTAAAATTAAACAGTAACAAAGTAAAGATTCAAGTAATGCTTTCATTTTTACAAAAGCACCATCGTCATGCATTGTTTTACGTATACATTTGGTATTTTCCGTATCTTTGTGACCACTTTATGCTTTCAATCACTATTTTA